CTACGGATTCAATGAAACCTCTATCAAAATTCCAATGACACTTTATAGAAACAGAAAAAAAACCCTGAAGTTCATATGAAATAAAAAAACATACTGAATAGCCAAGGCAATCTTGAACAGAAAGAACAAAGGTGGATTATACTACCTCATTTCAAAATATAATACGAAACTATAGTAATCAAAACATCCTGTGCCAGCAAGAAAACAGACATATAAACTAATGAAACAGAATAGAGAGCTCAGAAATAAATCCACCCATTTATGATCAATTGATTTTTGATAAAGGTGCCAAGAATACACAATGGGGAAAGAATAATCTCTTCAATAGATGCTGTTGGAAAACTAGATATCCACATGCAGAAGAATAAAATTGGACCCTTACCTGATACCATATACAAAAATCAACTCCAAATGAATTAAAGGCTTAAACAGAAGACCTGAAACTGTACAACTACTAGAAGAAAACATAGAGAGAAGACTACATGACATTGGTCTAGGTAATTATTTTTTGAATATTACCCTGAAAGCACAGGCAACAAAAGCAAAAATAGACAAATGGGATTTCACCATACTAAAAAGCTTCTCCATAGCAAACAATGAACATAGTGAAGAAACAACTTATGGAATGAGAGAAAATATTTGCAAGCCATACATTTTATAAAGTTTTAATGTCCAAAATATATAAGCAACTCAAACAAGCCAATAGCAAGAACACAAATAACCTAATTTAAAAAATGGGCCGGAGGGAAATGGGCATTTATTGAAACCTTAAAATCTGTACCCCCATAATATGCCGAAATAAAAAAAAAAAAAAGATTCAGACCTCCATGTAGATACTTAAAAAAAAAAAAAAAATGGGCCAAGGATCTGAATAGACATTTTTTAAAAAAAAAAAAAAAAATGGGCCAAGGATCTGAATAGACATTTTTTAAAATAACATACAAATGACCAATAGGTACATACAAAATGCTCAATGTTACTATCAACAGAGAAATGCAAATAGAATCCACAAAGAAATATCACCTCACACACATGTTAGAATATCTATTATAAAATAAAAAAAGAAAGTGTGGAGAAAAGGGAACTCTTGTACGCTATTAGTGGGAATGTAAATTAGTACAGCTATTTTGAAAATCAGTATGGTGTTCTTCAAAAAATTAAAAATAGAACTACTGTATAATCTAGAAATCCCATTTGTGGGTATATATCCAAGGAAAATGAAATCAGTATGGTGCAGCAATATCTGCACTCATGTCCATTGTAGTAGTATTCACAATAGCCAAGATATGGAATTAACATGTATGTCCATTGATGGATAAATGGATAAAGAAAGTCTGGTATATATACGAAATACTATTGAGCTGTAAAAAGAAGGAAATCCTGATATTTGTGACAACATGGGTGAACCTGGAAGACATTATGTTAAGTAAAGTCAGCCAGGCACAGAAAGACAAATACTGCATGATCTCACTTTTATATAAAATCTAAAAATGTTGAACTCACAGAAGCAGAGAATAGAATGATGGATGCCAGGGTCTGGAAGGGGTGGTAGTGATGTGGGAATGGAGATATATTGGCCAAAGGATCCAGAGTTTTAGTTAGACAGAATAAAAAATTCTGTAAATCTATTGTCCAACATGTTGAACATTATACTTAATACTAATGTATTGTATACTTGAAAATTGCTAAGAGAGTAGATCTTAAGTGTTCTCACAACAAAAAAATGATAAGTATGTGAGTCGATGCATATGGTAATTAGCTTGATTTAGCCATTCCACAATGTGTATATATTTCAAAACATGTTGTAAACCATAAATATGTATGATTTTTGTCAGTTAAAGAAAAGGGAAAAAAGAAAAAAGTGAAAATGTACAGAAAAAAACTCTTATTGTGAGCTCTCATAAGCATATAGTAAAGAAAGTCACAGTGTGATTGATGCTGAAAGTGCATCTGAGCACAGTTTCTCAATCTCAGCACAATTGACGTTTTGTACAAAATAATTTTTGTTTTGGGAGATTGTCATGTGCAACTTAGGGTGCTTAGCAGCAAGTCTGGTCTCTATCCACCAGATGCCAACAGCCTGCCTCCAGTTCTGACAATCAAAAATGTCTCCAGACATTGCTAAATGCCCCTGGGGGGTTAAAATTGTCTCTGGTCAAGATTCAGTCTAGATCTAGATTGGGAAATCCTGTTGGCTACATCTTTAAAATATGTTCAGAATCCAACCTCCTCTCACAACTTCCATTTTCTCTCTTTTTCAAGCCATCATCTCTTGCCTAGATTATTGCACAGGTTCCTAATTAAACTCCTGCTGACCACCTCATCTTCTACTCTTACCTTTGCAGTGTTTTCTCAAGATAGCATCCAGAGTGATTCCTTCAAAACATGTCGTTTTATGTCACTTATCTGCTCACAACTCCCCAATGACTTCCTGTTTCCTTTAGGGTAAAATGGTCTAGTATGTGAGTTCAGGACAATGACATGCAAGGACCTATGTGATACATCACTGCCACTGGCTGAACCAGGGATCTGTGAAGAAGCCAAAGGCATATGGGCAGCCAGTTGCCCCTGAGAAAGCTCAAAACATTCTGGAAGTTCTTTCTGAAGTTGTCTTCAGAACCAGTTTAGTCAGACAAGGACACTACTCTGATTCCTTATAGTTGGATACTTTTCTTTACCAAATAGTCTTCCAGTTTGATCACCAACCTATTTACCAGACTATGGATGACAATTATTTCTATCCCAAAATTAAAGTCTATACTGAAAGGATGAGGATTTACTACTACTGCATATCTACAAGGAGTCTCCAAAATTGTTTTTAAACTATGGCAAGATTGATGGATAAAAGTAGAAATTCTTAAGGCAGTTATGTTGAAGGAAATAATATTCATTTTGATATTTAAGTTTTGGGTGTTAATTACTATGAGCTTTTCTATAATATTCAAAATTACTTGATAGAGTAGTTTAATATCTTGACATTTTATAGTAAAAATATTTTATAAAATTTCAAGAACATGTCCTAGAAATATGAAAAATAAGTCACAAATTCAACAAGACAAATTAAGAGATAGAGAATCATAACCGCAAAAGAACCAAGAGATATTTTTCTCCCCAAGTCAACATGAAATAAGATCCTATGAAAACAGCAAAAGTAAAGGACAGTTAAAGGTGGAACAGTTACAAAAAACCTCACTTTGATAAACAAAAATGCCAGCAATCTGTTAGAGCATAGAAATAGTGATTGCCCCTCTCATTACAACATGGAAAGATTACACATGGCTTTGCTAGTCTGATTTCTGTCTTTCCATATGGGAAAAATATAACTAACTGGATAATTTTCAACCAGCAAAAAAAAAGAGCATAAATTCTAAAAATAATCATGTACAGACTGATATAAAAATGCTAAAAATCTTTGATGAGTTCTAAATGGGAATACAGATAAGAAAAGACAGAGTAAAATATTTTATAGCCATGTGTAATGGGGTGAAATTAAGCAAAAACAAACTTGAAAGTGGAATATCAGAGAACATTTTGATGACAAATGGTCATGTCCTATTGTATAACAAGAGTACCATTACATAAGAGAATTTGAATGTAAACTGGGAATACTCAGAGAGATTCCAAAACTACAATCTTTTATCAGTGAGAGGGAGATAATTCCTTGTTTCTTTTTTCCCCTGACATATTACTATACAAACTTATTTTTCAGAGTTTTGTGAAATATCATTAATATATTTTCTTTTATTATACTACCTGTTTTCTGGCCATCATACTTCTCCAGGGAGAGAATATGATCATCGGAAAGAGCATGTTGGCTCATACTCCCTTAACTTTAATCCCCTTTTAAAGACTAAGCCTACTTTTTCCCCCAGGATTTTGGCTTGGGATAACTGTTTTGCTGCCACAGAAAATAGTGCCATCTTTCATCAACAGTTGTAAAAGTAAACTTCCTCGAATAACATTCTAAAAACCCGATTACTAAATAAAAAGATGCAATCTGATAAGAGGCACAGTCCAGAAAGCCATTTGTTAAATAGATTCATTAGTTAAAACACATTTTCTCACACTAGAGATTCCATACGTGGTGGTATGGTCTCCAGCTAGCCTGCCATGTTTATTTAATTTACAATGCAGTTGAAATTGAATGTTCTATAAATCAAATACATACGGGTTAATAGGGCCTTTGGGGAGACTGAGTTTGGAGGCAGAGAGGTATGGTCAGGGAATCTGACTCCCATTATAAATTATTTTTAAGGTAATTGATTTTCAAGTGAGGGCTCAAGATGCTAAGACCTCAACTATAACGTGTCCCAGGAAATTGGGAGATTGGAACAGAGAAAAAGGAAGAACAGGAGATGGAAGTTTCTTCTTGTGAGGCCACAGGTGATGGTGGAAACTCACCCCAAACCAAACTCTATGAAGATGTCTCTTCTCTCTCTATGCCAGAAAAGTCACCAAGAGAGGATTCTCTTTCGCTTCCTCCAATCTCTTTTCCTAGAAATCATTGCTTAATATTATTGAAAGACACTTCTTTATGTTCTCTTGCATTTCTGCACATCTTGCAAAGCAAGGCACTGGCTCTCTTTGCTCTCGACTATCTTTTCAAGGATGTTTGTAAAGGAAAAAGATGTGGAAGATAAAGATGTTGTACCCTTCCAGAGAAAAATGTAGGGTTGCTTATAGCCTTGGAACATATAGATGGTATCTCCTTCCCAAGCAGTGGGCAGCCACTCTTACTAACCCTTTACAAAAGATTTGGGTCCACTAAGCTCAAAGTTCCTCTCTTATAACCCAAGTATATGGGAATTGGGGCTCTGGGTATAAATACAAATGCTGATGCTTTGGCTATTGCTATTGCTCTGAGTAATAAACTGTCCTTTGACTCAGAAAGCTTGTTTTCTATCAGTACCCATGAAAGTGTGTCAGGCTGACTTATTAACTTGCAAATTAGCTTACTGCTTTTTAATGAAGCAGCACATTTTGATTCTGATTCTGATCTATGTATATATCAGAGCCTATAAAAATTATTAACATACCACCTATTTCTTTATGGATACAAGTCTGCTGGTAAGTATACTAAATAATTTAGCATAAGTAACAAGATTTTTTTTTAAAAAAGAGATAAAATTGGTAAAAAGAGGTTGGAGATTAACTGTGAATGTCAATTTTTATGCTATTTAAATACTGTTTTCATATTAATACTCAGTTTCATATATACATTTCTACCATTTTAAGTGCTGTTTTTTGCTGTTGTTGTTTTTTCCCTGGCCTAAGTGTTCATAGGAAAAATATAGGTTCTATGATTCCAGATTTGCTCAGTGGCACAAAGAACAAACACAACCGCCTCTTCTACCATCAGATCTTTTGAATTGACCCTGTTGCTGAAGAGCATGTTGGTCTGCATTTCCTGATGTTTGTAGCAAAGGATGGCTGAGTCTTAGTTAGGTGTAGTCAAAGGTAGAGCCTAACGCAACGTTAAGGTTAAAAACACAAATAAGACTCAAATTTTATGCCTTTAAAATATTTTATTATTAACCTTAATGTAAATTTGAATTTTTTTTTTTTGGTGGTGTGTTCCAATATATATTCACTCATTTACTGTCCTTACTCTATAATAGAGATTGAGAAATCTCTCTTAATTGTTAAGAAGTGCTTTCTCTCAAGCTCTATCAGCTTCTGAAGCAATCTGCAGAGGAAATGCAGCTGCTTCTCTTGTTCATTAGTGACTAATTGTTGTATCCTTAGAGCCTTGCACATAGCCGGATAGCAATGCATACTGGCTACACACTGGAGTTGAATGTATCATTGTCTTTCAAAACTATCCTAGCAGTAAGATAAGGATTTTATGCAGGTTATTTCAATCAATAAAACAGCACAGTAGCTTGTGCCCTTTCCTTCTCCAAATATAGACAAAGAAATATCTTACCAAACAATCATCTTTTAACTAATTAATAACCTTGAAAAATTAAGATTACAGTGAATATTATATGCATATTAAGATCTTTAAAAGATATGATAATTGGAACTGTCAGGACAATAATCACTTTATTTTAGAGTGTCTTCTGTCAGGTAAATTAGACTCAGATTTGACACAAAAAGGTAACAGAAAATAACTAACAGTCATTTAAAATAGTTGTCTTTACCCAAGCTTTAGAGTTCAAGCTTGGGCTTCTAAATTAAGTATCCACATGCATATTTATTTAATTGAAGGATAAACCAATTCTCAAAGCACTTAATATTAAAAAATGGGTAGAATATATTTATCTGCCAAAAACATGATAAATTTCATTCCTGCATTATCTCATTTAATAGTCACAACAACTATTATTATCCCTATTTTACAGGTGAGGAAACTGATGCTTAGGGAAATTAAGTAACTTGCTCAAGTTTACATAGCTAATAAGTGACAGAATTTTAATGAAGTACTGTTAATCCTTATAATTAGAAAATGTATCATTTTTCCATGAAAATGGGCATGTCTTTGTTTTTAGTGAAAATGGAAATTTCCCTTTTTTGGTGCTTGATAATTGTCTAACAAACCAAATCTGAAGAAAAGGTTTACATTTCTTGTATTTCATCCAATTCACCCTCAACCTGGGACTATTCATGGGGAAGAAAACAAATTATGCAGATGTTGGGAATAGCTTGTTAGAAATCCATTAACTTTTAATTTTTAACTATCAAGATTTTAACCACTGAGGGTATTAGGTTAAATCTATCACTTAAGAAGATTGCAAATGCTTCCCTTGGGAGGAAATTAATTCTATGAAGCTAAGACTACTTACTCTATGACTAGATGGTACATACTCTAGCAGCACTAATCAATTAAGCCTCATAATTCTGCTGAAATGGAGTGCTAGCTTTCCCAAGAGAACACATCAGTTGACCTCTATAGTTTTCAGCTGCAGATGCCCCATTGGGTCTCTATCCTGGACAGCTGGGAGGCTGTCACTGGTTCCTGCTGGCTGTCTGAGGTGATGGGTGATCTCTCCGGTTTCCAGATCTCCCAGGTTAGTGCAGCTTAATGAGTGGAACATTTGCTCTTGGTCCTGCTCTGCACTTTCTCCCCAGCAGTTCGGCAAGGTGGATAATCTCTCCACACTGTGATTAATTTATTTAGCTAATCAGACCCAAGAGTGGCTTTGTTAAAGAAAGTCACTGTTTCAATGTTGTGATTTATGAGGCCCTCAGCTAAAGGACCCTGCTAGACCTTGCCCTGCACTCCTGCTCCCCACCCAATTTCCAGAGATTAACTCTTTGTAAACTTGATATATCTAGAAAATCTCAAGTTACTCCATGAAAAAGGATTTAATAGATTTTGGGGGCACAACCATCCTCTTTGGATGAAATTCAAACTTCTACTCTTTATTTTTCTGGTTTCAATGATTCCTTATTAATCAACATCAACCTCTCTTCTCTCTTCTGACCTCCATTAACTGGGTTTTGTGTTCTAGAGGGGATTGCTGACTTTAGTCCAGCCTGTGCTCCTGCCATGTTCAAGCAGCTTTCTACCAAGGGCTCTCAGTTCTGAATTCTCAGTCCTAATGTCAACCACCTGACCAAGATTTCCTCCCCTGACCCTCTCCAAGCTCTGACTGTACTATCCCATTTGACCAAGCCATTGCCTCACCACTGAGAACTCATTCACAGCCAAGCTGCATCAGCTCGTAGAGGTAATCTTCAAACTTCTCAAGGACTATCCAATTAAACCTAGTATTACTCTGATCTTACCAGAAGCCAGTTCTGTGTGCACATGTACCCACTGTTAAATTATGGGGATTCCATATATGAAACACTGCCAAGGAAAATAGTAGCGCCACTGCCTCCAATTCACCCAAATGAAATCAAAAGCTGCACGTACAACCCAAGATCACTGTAACTGCAGTAGTTTCCAACCTCTGTTTTAATCATAGGAACTGTTTTACGTAAACAAAATTTCACCCACAACCTCAGTATTGATTCATGTATTCAATAAGTATTGAGCACATATGTTGTGGAAAACACTGAATACATGCCTCAGTAAATGGAAATGCCATCCATGCACTAAATAGCTCCATCCCAAAGTCTAGGAGTCATCCCTGATTCCTCTCTTTCCCTCACTGCATGTACCAATCCATCAGCAAGGCTTGTCAATTTCACCTCTAATACAGATCTTCATTTTTTTCTATTTCTCTCTTGCAACAGCCACCCCAATCCAAGTCATCACCATCTCTTATATCTACCAGGGCAAACCTCCCTGCTCCTCTTGCTCCACCCTTCTTCATCCAAAGAGAAAGGTGTTCCCTAACTGGCCATTTTAAATTAGCCCTCCAACCATTAGTCACTCTTTATCACATTTCCCTGTTCTATATTCTTCAAAGCATTGATTACCATCTGAAATATTATGCTATTTTATTTAACTTGTTTATTGTCTGTCTCCTTCTACCCCTCAATATTGTAAATTCTCTATTCACAACTGTGTCCACTAAAATGGTGCTTGGTATATAGTCGGACTTAATGGCTATTTGTTAAGTAGACAGTGGGAAATAAAACAAAGTTCATTCCTTCATAGAACTTACAGTTAAACTAAGAAAAAGTAAATAATGAATATAATCATATATATAATCCAAATATATAAATTGTGATAAGTGCTATAAAAGGAAAAAATAAATTGCTCTATGGCCTGGAAAGATGGCTCTGAGCAGGTGCAGGAAGGAGGTGAGCTGAACAGAATTAGCCACATGGATGTCTGAAGGAAAAGTACTCCAGATAGAGAGGAAAGGCAATGCAAAAGCCTTAAAGGGTCAGTAGTATGTGTGGCCTGTTTGAGGAAAGGGTGGAGTGGACCAGGTTGGAAAATAATAAGACATGAAGTCAGAAAGGAAATGGATTACAACAGCAGAGCTGTTTCATTGACCATAAGTCCTAATAATTTAGACATTAAAGCTCACATTCCTCAGAAGGGCATAGGATACCTAGCAGGTATTTCAGCCTGCATAAAAGGTTTTTTGTGTTTGGTCTGTTTTGTTCCATGAAGGTTGATATTAGACTGGATGTTATCATCAGATTGTTCTTGTGTATCCAATCACACCCCACATATAACCCTCAGAAAATGATGCAAAATTGCAAAGAAAAATCAGATCTTAATCATACTGGACCTTCCAGAATTGACTATTTTTTTTACCCTAACCAATTACTTAATTATGCTGAAATAATAGTATTTCAATCCAAGATCAAAATGGGGAGTTCAGTTAAATTCTCATGCTGGATTCCAAATAATTTGACTGCTTTTGGCAAATTATAGACAGAATGTGTGCATAACAGAAAAATAGTTGAGTTTTAGTTTTCAGAAACAATTTTAACTTTCTGAGAGAAGTATTCCACTTCAGAAACTAAACAAACTTCTAATGAAAAGGTAAGAAATTAAACTTTTTTTGATATGCAAAATTCTCACATCACTCGGTAGTCTGTACACATATAAATTAAGTAAATTTAATAATTTATTATTGTGTACAAATGTAGGAAAAACCATAGTATTTTTTTCAAGGACTTCATAGTTGAATTGATTGATAGGGCAAGCACACAACAAAGGAAATGCTATAGGAACCATGTGTCAGTGCAGAAATGACTCTCCAGAAATGACTTTATCTGTGACGCTTTGCCTGTCTTCTTCTACCATGATTCTCTAAACTCAGAGACTTATCTCAGTTGTCTTAACCCCATTCCTGATCTGGAAACAATCATATTTCTGATCTAGGGGTATTTAAGGAGCACTTGGCTCATTGCAGAGGAGTTTAAGGTCAGCCCATTTGAGTGGTTGGTCTGGTTTTGGCATCACACCCTTACTCTGGTAACTGGACTTGCCTTTTGCCTTGGGACCAAGTTCTCCCTGTATTCTGCTTGTCTTTATACTGTCAGCTTTATACCTCATTTCCAGGTTTGCTAACTTTCCCCAAATTGGAGCTGGACACTTGTTACCTGTGATAACCTGTCTAAGGCTACCTGCCTTTCTTCCCACCTGTTATCTGCCACCAGAATACCCTATGATGGCAGGGCCATTTATACACTGTGAGATAACATTATAATGA